AAGAGGCCCTAGGTTTGATCTCTATAACTGCAAAAACAAGTGAATAAATAAGTAAACAAATAAATGAATAAAAAAATAACTCAGGAGTCTAAGGAAAAAGAACAGTTGAAGGTCAGACAGCAAGACTGTCTTCAAAGAGAGAGAGCAGGCAAGCAAACATAAATTTTGGGAGTGGGGAGATGGCTCAACAATTATCTTCCAGGACCTGAGTTTAGTCCCAGCACTTGTATAGGTTGGTTAACAAGCATCTGTAACTAGAGCTCCAGGAGATCTGACATCCTCTTCTGATCTCAGGCACTGCATTCATGTACACAGATACACACACATAACTAAAAATAAAGTCATGGGGCTGTGACATATGCCTTTTATCCCAGCACTCGGGAGGCAAAGGCAGGCAGATCTCTGTGGTTCAAGGCCAGCCTGTTCTATAGAGCTAATCCTAGGACAACCAAAGCTAAGCAAAGATACCCTTTCCTGAAAAACCAAAATAGATAGGTAGACAGATAGACAGACAACAGACAGACAGAGAGAATCATGAAAAAAATAAAAGGAACATCTTATCAATACAGGGAATCATGAACTCTGACTAATCAAGCAGGAAAGTAGTATTCCTGCTAGAGGCAGCTAAGTCTTTGACACAAGAGAGCTGGTCTCCCATCTCCTATACCTATATATAACAGATCCCTTCTACATATGTCATACTGTAGTCTGATAGCGCTATTCACAAAACCTAAGAAATTGTGTTCTTTTTTTCTGTAAAAATATACAGTCCAGCAAGATAAGATAGCTCAGCACGAAAAAGCGTTTGTCACACAAGGCTGATGACCTCAGTTCAATCCTCCACAGGCAATGATGGGAATAGAGAACCAACTCTCAAAAGTTGTCCTCTGGAGGGGATAAAAAAATGGTTCAGAAGCTCTGCTTTTCCAGAAGACCTGGATCTCTGTGAGTTCGAGGCCAGCCTGGTCTAGAAGAGCTAGTTCCAGGACAGGAACCAAAAAGCTACGGAGAAACCCTGTCTCAGGAAAAAAAAAAATACCCTAGCCTAAGCTCCCCAAAACTGGAGATAGTATAAACGCACCAGCCACACAAGATGCCACAGTGAGAAGACAAACTCCTGAAAGTTATTCTCTAACCTCCACATATGCACCATGGCACGAAAACACACACATTCACATATAAATAAAATTAAAGAAAATATTAATGATGGTCATGTCTCTTTTATAGGCACATTTGCTTTCCTCTGTGAATGTTTTCTAATTCTTTTTTTTAAATATGTCCCAGGCATGAAACAGCTTTAGCTACCAAGCCAGGCATCAAGCTAGGAAGAACAAAGAACTGCCATCTGCTCTGCCCATGACTGATGTAAGAAGACCACCACCAACAAGGTGTCTCTTTGCCCACTGCCGGGGGCAATTCTTTTTATCTAATATAAAATAGACACTTTGAAGGGCCAGCAAGATGGTTCAGTGGATAGGGCTAGTTGCTGTTACGTATGACAATTTGAATTTGAGCCCCAGAATCCACATGCTAGAAAGACAGGACTCCCACAAGTTCTCTGATTTCCACACATGCTGTGGCACATGACCGCACTCATGCACAGACACACACATACATGTATAAACAAATGTTAACAAAAACTTTAATTTTTAAAAATTGTATGGCTGTCTAGCTTGCATGTATGCATGCATGACTATCCATCACATGTGTACAGTGCCCTCAGAGACCAGAGAAGGCATCAAATCATCTGGAATTGGAGTTAGAATGTTGTTAGCCACCAAATGGCTGCTGAGAACCAAACTCAAGTCCTCTTTAAGAGTAGTAAGTGCTCTTAATCACAAGTAATCTCTCTAGTACCATTACTAAAATTAAAAACAAAAACTAACTTTGCAGGCTGGGCATGGTGGCAGGCCAGCTTGGTCTACATAGGAAGTTCCAGGACATCCAAAGCTACAGAGAAACCATCTTAAAAAAACCCAAAACAACAATAATGATAATAAAATATCCAATTCAAAGTGTAAGATAAAAACACACAGATTTTCATGTGAGACTACAAAACACTCATTCTCAGTGCTCCAGACCACACTGACTTTTAAGAAGCTGTAGCCTAACACAATGACGTATGCCTTTAATCCTAAAACCCTGTCTCAAAAAAAACAAACAAAAAGAATACTTGCTGCTCTTATAAAGCATCTGGGTTCAATTACCAGCAGCCATACAACAGTTCACAACCACATATAAGTCCTGCTTCTTATTTTTGCAGGCATTATACATACATGGACACTTACTTACATGAAGGAAAAACACTCATAAACTCATAAATCAATCAATCAATCTCTCTCTCTCTCATACACACACACACAGACACACCCACACCACACCACACCACATCACACCACACCACACCACACCTTACTCAGGATGGGGGAATAGCTCAGTGCAGAATGCTTGCTTCACAAGCATAAAATCCTGTATTAAGTCCCTGCAGCACAAATTAACCAATTCTCTTCAGGCTCATCCATATGAAGAATCACACCTATGAATTATTAGAATGTTATACAGTGCTTTTAAATTTTTATTTATTATGTGTGTATGTGCATGTGCCATGCTGTGCTTGTAGAGGTCAAAACAATCTGTGGGAGTCGATTCTCTTCTTATACCATGTGAGATCCTGGGTAATGAAATTCAGGTCTTCGGGATGGTGTCAGGTCCCTTTAACCACCAGCCAACTCTCTGGCCCCTAAATGTTCTTTGTTTTCTTTACTTTTCTTCCTTTCAGTTACAACCTACCCTCCTATATCCACACCTGTGCACAGTTCTCCAAACCGACAGCATCTACTTCCTATATACGGAATTCTTCACTTCTCTTCAACCTTCAAAAAAAACAGCCACCCCAACACCCCAATACCATTGTGCCCCTTTCCTTGAACTTATTTTCCATTGCCTATGAACTATTCCATTCATGCCAGGTGGTGGTGGCACACACCTTTAATCCCAGCATGGGAGACAGAGACAGGTGGATCTCTGTGAGCTTGAGGCTAGCCTGGTCTACAAAGTGAGTTCCAGAATAGGCTTCAAAGCTACAGAGAAACCCTGTATTGAAAAAAAGAGGGAAAAAAAAAGTTGGGAAATATTCCATTCAAGTATTCCCAAATCCTCAGATCTAATATGCACAACTGAAAACAGCAACTTCCTAAAATCAGTTCATTCTGTAATCTGTAGGCTTATAAATGCTACTACCTTTCCTCTGACTACAGGAAGAAGACCTCAGGCTCCATACTTGGCTCTTTTCTTCCTAATTTCTACCACATATTACTAACTGTACCTCGGAATTTCTGAGCTTTACTTATTGCCTACACATAGGCCACTAATATACTGATATATCTGGGATACTAAAAACATTTCTGGGGCTGGAGAAATGGCTCAGCAGTTAAGAGCACTGGTTGTTCTGCCAGAGGGCCCTGGTTCAATTTCCAGCACCCACATGGCAGCTCACAACTGTCTGTAACTCCAAGTCTGACCAGAATTACTTACAGGTAAAGAATCAATGCACATAAAAATAAATATTAAAAAAATTACTTGGGGCAGTTAAAGAGCACTGGTTCCTCTCCCAGAAGACCCAGGTTCAACTAACTGGATTCTCAGCATTCAAGTTCCCAGCACCGACATGGCAGCTTACAACTGTCTGTAACTCCAGCTTCAGGGGATCTGACATCCCTTCTGGTCTCTATAGAGACCAAGTATGAACATGGTGCAGACATACACACAGGCAAACTGCCCATACACATAAAAAAATAAAATAATAATTAAAAAGAAAAATTTCTAGTTACTTTAATTCTCTCTTCAATCTATTGTCTACAATGTTCTTAGAATGTATCCATTTATGAGATGGAAAGATGGCTCAGCAAATAAGGGCAGGAGCTGTCCTTACAAAAGACCCATGTTCAATTCCCAGCACCTACATGGTGGCTCATCATCATCCGAAACTCACTCTAATTCCAGGGCATCAATGCCCTTTTTCTGACCTTAGGAGGCTCTTACACACACATAATAGCCATACATAAACACTAATCTCAGGTGCACATGCATACACATAGAACAAATAAAAACAAAACAGAATGTATCTGTTTAAACATAATCCTGAACATATGATTTGCCTATCTTAAAATACAGAAGTTAAGCTGGACATGATGGCACACCATTGTAATCCCACCAGAGGCAGGCAGATCTCTATGAATTTGATACCAGCCAGGGCTAAAACAAACAAACAAACAAAAAAAAACAAATAAAATCAGAGGCTAGACATGGAAGACACATGTAATTTCATCATTCGGAACACTGGGGCAGAATAATTGCTAGTACAAGACTAGCAATAGCAAGTTCAAGAACCCTTTCCCCCTTCCACCATACAGAGTGACAAACAGAATTAAGGCAGACAGTAAGGCACTCTGCTTAATTCAGAGGAAATTTATATATATTCACAAAGACTATACTCTGAAAAGGCATCATATGCAAAACATGCTGCCAAATTCAGTGCAAGTTAAGAACTATGTTATAGGGGCAAAATTAAAAGAAATGTGTCGTCTCAGTTGTCCTAGAACTAGCTCTGTAGACCAGGCTGGCCTCGAACTAACAGAGATCCACCTGTCTCTATATCCCAAGTGCTGGGATTAAAGGTATGTGCCACCACTGCCCAGCTGTAACAAGACATTCTGCCATTCACTGAACACTGAATCACATAGAGTATAATCCTATTTGGAGTTACTTTGGCACCTCTGTTGTAGAAGCATTAAGTTGGCCATTAAGAGGCTCTCTAATTTTTAGACTTGGTAGATTTAAAAAATTGACCCCCAGGATGGATTTGTCACAGGAGACATTCCATGAAACGCACATGGTCAGAACTCAGATCTTCTGTTGGTCCAGCTTGCTTCCTACCACACCATGTCCACTCAGATACCACTAGATTGATACATATTGATAACTTTCCATGTATTACCTACCTTACTCTCCCATTCAGATTTATTTGAATATGCTGCTTAAAATCTGGATATTTGGATGCCAGATATGCAAAGTCAGGTGGCTTGTCCTTGTATCTGTTTCTTGCGTGCATTGATTTGCTTAGAGCCATCTTTAAAGAGAGAGGGAAGAGGGGATATGAGAGAGACAAAGAAATCATATTTATTTCAAAAGCATTAGTGAGGAAAGGAGTACATACATGCCCATAATACCAGTACTTGAGAGGCAGAGGCAGGAGGATTCCAGTAAGCTTGAAAGATCAACCTCAGCTACATAGTTCCAGGCCAGTCTGGCCTACAATTGAGACCTTACCTCTAAAACAAACACACACACACACACACACACACATACCACATACACACAAATAGTAAGGCAAGTAAGCAGTGCTCTTGCTGCCACATGCAGGACCCTCCCCAACTAAGGGGATACAGTTTATCACTAGAATACTTGCCAACACACTCAAGACCCTGGGTTCATTCTCCAGAATCTCTCTCTCTCTCTCTCTCTCTCTCTCCAGAATCTCTCTCTCTCTCTCTCTCTCTCTCTTTCTCCCCCCCCCACTCACACACACACACACACACCTAGAAACTCACAGTTTTTATTCCCTAGGATTCACATGCCCCTTACAGATATCTGGTTAAAAAGGAACATAAACTGAGGACAGGACCCAAGGCCCCAAGATTATCAAAGGGAAATGTGTTCTTTCTTCATGTAATACTGTAGAGCAACAAAAAGAAAGGCACTCCTCTAACAAATTCGAGGTATTGATACATTAGGACTCACCAACACATAAAAGAGGGTATTGCTGACAGACATGTAATCTGAACATATGTAACCCAAGTTAAATTACAGTCTTGGCCAATCTGGTTCATTTTCTACCCTACTTATTCGATCGTAACAGATGCAGTCAATATAAGTCACTCCTTTGATTAACTTCTGGGAGAAAAAAATTTTTTTCACCAGGAATTTAACCCAGTGTTTCACACAAGTTCTACCAAGGGGCTGCTATACCCCAGATGAATTAACTTCTGGATATTTAGTTACATACCTATCTATTCCATTCCTCAAAGCTAACTGGATGTCAGCTCTTGCCTAGCACTCAATTTACTCTGTTCCTGCCACACTGGCCTATTAGCCATTTCCTGATCAAGTCAGGCACATTCACGCCTTAGGGCTACTTATTTGTACTTGTCTTTTTATTGTTTTTGTTGCTCAGACAAGGTCTCCAGTAGCCCACACTGGCTGGGAACTCACTTACAAAGGCTACTCATGAATTCCTTCTCCAGAGTGCATCATCACGTGGAACTTGCACCTGCTGCTATTCAACCGTCATGGATTGCCCTCCCCCATACAGTGTATGAAATGTACATACACTGAACATATCCCAACCTTGTTAGGTGTTTGGTCAAACGTCACCTTCAGTGACTAGAACACACTTTATCATCTTCCTAAGCTACTGTCTTTTGAATTTCCTCACTTAAGATTCTCTACATGTTTGTTTTAATTTTTAAAACTTTCCCTACAAGCAAATTCCATGAGGGAAAACTTTGTTCGCTGAGGTACCCCAATACTTAACAAAGGATCTGTAAGAATAGTTACTCAACTATTTGCTGACTGAGGAGAGTATGAAATTGCCTGGAGATGTACCTCAGAGTGATAGAGCATTTGCCTAGCACGTGCAAGGCACTGGGTTCAGTCATCAACACCATAAGCCAATGACTACCAAATACTTTTCACCGTGTATAAGCCATTGAATCATAACACTCTCTTTCCGAATGGGCAGCCCAGGGAGTCTCAACAACAGCTACAAAAAGGCTCAGATGAGCGAGTCCAAAAACCAAAGACCTCGAGGGTTGCCTTTCTCTTGACCCGTATCTCTTCAAACACCATTTCTTCTCATGCATAACCCTATAGGATAGTCTAAATTCGGCTTTTAGAACATCAAACTCTGGGGGCTGTAGAGATGGATCAACGGTTAAGAGGACTGGTTGCTCTTCCAAAGGGCCTGGGTTCTATTTTCAGCACCCACATGGCGACTCACGACCAATTCTAACTCAGCCCCAATGGCATCGTCCTCTTCCGGCCTCTGCCGGTACTTGTGCTCGTGCTGCGGACATACGTGCGTTCAAAACACATACATATAAAGTAAAAAAAATTTAAAAAGTGTTTTAAAAAAGAACAGCAAACTCAACAGATGCCTCCCGCCACGACCTCAACACCTCCGTTCTATGTCCATGACCCCCCGTCACTAATCTGACTTTTTCTCTAGTTCTACCGCCTCTCGGGCTCATCCACGCCTTCTTCCCGCTTCGGTTTCAGGGCTCTCTAAGTATCAGCCCAGGAGCAAGAAGGGGCTCTCTCCTTCAACTCCTCCCACCTACCCACCCCACCGCCTGCGTCGGAGCACACAGCCGCCCAGGGTCCCCGGCTTCAAACCCCAATTAAGCCCCTGAGGAGCCAAGAACCAGTGGATAAAAGCCGGTACTGGTTAAGCAACTAATGAGCGCAAGCTGATAATTGATTTCTGAACCTCGCACCTCGTATGCCAGTGTAGGAGCCGGACGGCGTGTATGGCTGGGCTCCGCACAAACGCAGGATCCTAACCCACTCACACAGCGAAGCGCCTAGAAACGCAGATGCTACGCTCCCAGAGCGCCGCCATCTTGTGAAGCCAATCGGCGGCGTGATTGGGCAAGCCATTCTCGCGAGACCTATGGTCTAGCCTGAAGAAGAAAGTAACTGTCGCGATACCTGGAGTTTGGGGCGCGTTTTCCACGAGAACGTGGGGGCGTGGTCGCAAGCAGAGCGGTTGTCGGGGACCAGGTCGAGAGGTGTACTTGCCGTTTTATTGTTGTTGGGCTGCTTGTGTCCTGTTTAGTTTTGGTTGCGACGGAGCTCCACTGTAATCCAGTCTGGATCCAGTCTGGCCACGAACTCGGGGCCACCCTCCTGCTCTGGCCTTCCTGACCTGGGATTACAGGTGTAAGCTACCCCACCAAACTGGAAACTTTTTTTCTGAGTAACTTTTTTCAGCTCGCTCCAGGCTTACTAAATCATACCCTCTAGGTTAGGACAGGAAAAAGGAAAGCTAGAATAGGAGAATCTTAGGTTTGGTGGCAATTAATAGTTATTGGATAGCAAGTCTGTCTATGTGATGACACAGTAGTTTCAGATAAACCTATGAGATGGGCAAAATCAAAATATAATAGTAATAATTGTGTCACAGCTCAGATGGAAAGGGATCCTGGCAGGCAGGAGCCAGGGAATGCTGAGTATTACAGCTCGGGTGGAAAAGTGCTCTGGCAGTCTGGACCAGCAATAGCACAGGTCACAGGAAGTGACAGCTCTGCTCCGGCTGGAGAGTGCTTTCCCCATTACAGCTTGGCTCCAGTGTTCCAGAGTGTAGCAACTCCGCTCCGCTAAGGGAAGGCTTCCCCAGCGAAAGTGTTACAGTCCCAGTCCACTCCATCTCTGCTCCTGTAAAAGAAGGTCTTCACTCAGACCTCGTCCAAGAGATTTCTTAAGAGGAAAGAATCCAGGAGAGTGGATAGCTCTACCAGGGTGGAAGAAGAGCAACCACAAAAAGCACTGGTACAGGGCTTATATAGGGGTTCTTAGGGGCGGGGTTTTCCTAGGGAGATGATGGGTTGGTTAGTTTTCCCCTGCTCAGGAATTGGTTAGTTTAATTGGTCAAGGGCACAGATGGCTGATTTCAGAGCCAAACTGTGTTTCTTTCACTGGCCTTTTAAAGCTTTTTGACTCTAGGGCTCATTTCTTTCACTGACTCTGATTCTGTTCTAGGGACAGAGTATATTTCTTTGGCACCGGTTTCAGAGTCAGGGTGCATTCCTTTGGTTCTGGGTTCCCTGGCTAAAACATTTCTTTCACTGGCTCTGATCTCAGAACCAGGGGCTCAGTTTTCAGCGCCAGGTTGGGTTTCTTTGGCTACCCCTTTTACCCAACAACAACAACAATAATGATACCGATACTTAGAAACTGCTTTGGGGTTGGGGGGCAGAAACATGGCTCTGCTCTTAAGAACACTGGCTATTCTAACAAAAGACCCAGGTTCAATTCCCAGCACCCACATAGTAACTTAAAGCCAGCTGTAACTCAAGACCCTAGTGCCCTCTAGAGGCATGAAGCATGTATGTGGTGCACAAACATGCAAGCAAACACCCATGCACATAAAAATAAACCCTTTTTCTTTTTTAGATGGGAACTGCTTTGCCTAAAAAGCATTGAGTTCTCATTTGAATTCACAAAGTAAAAGGATAACAGCCTGCCTTGATTTTTATATCTATCACCTTTAGGCATTTAATTGCCAACTTTTACAATATTCTGTTCCAGATTGTCAAAAAGGTGCTTTAGTTGTATCACAAAATGTCAGTTTTGTATTGCATTCCTGGAACAACAGGAATGATCAATAAATACTTTAATGAAGCAATGCTAGGCAGTAAACAGAAGTTTCTGTCCCACCTGGTCCCACAACCGTTCAGTCCCAAATAAACACATAGAGTCTTATATTAATTATAAACTGGCTGGCCTATTGCTCAGGCTTATTATTAACTAACTCTTACAATATAAGTTAACTCATAATTTTTATCTATGTTTAGCCATATGACTTGGTTCCTTTTCTCAGTAAGTCAGATTCTTCTGCATCTGGCTGGTGACTGCATCTCTGCCTTTTCTCTTCCCAGAATTCTCCTAGTCTGGTTGCCCCACCTATACTTCTTTCCTGGCTTCTGGCCAATCAGCCTTTTATTAAACCAATACAAGTGACAAATCTTCACAGTTTACAAGAGCATTATCCCATTGTACTAGGCCTCAAAGAACAAGACTCCCTTCTTCTTCACAAGCTAAGGGCACATATCTGCATAGATGAAGCCATATGCTGTAGCAGGAATAGTTGTCCTAAAGGAACCAACTGCTTCTCTCAAGCAATAAAGACTTTGAGCCATTTTTCAGAATCAAAATGTGATCAACTAGACCACTTTGACCTTGGATACTTAATTAGCTGTGCTAATACCCCCCTCAATTGTTCCATCCCCAATTGTTCCTTTATCTCTAACCCTGAGTATGGTATCCTAGGCCTGTAAATCCAGCCTTTGGAAATGAGTTCATCCCTGTAATACATAATAAGACCAGCCTGGTCTACATGGGACCCTGTTCAAAAAGCCAAAGCAACAGTATACCATTAGGTCAGTGATAGAGTACAAAGGCTGTGCACACTAACACCATGTATATACGTGTGTGTGTGTGTGTGTGTGTGTGTATCATAGCTATGAAATGTGGGCTGGAGAAATGATTCAGCACTTAACACTTGATGCACCATAATGAAGTCCAGAATTTACACCCTATCATCCACATAACAAGCAAGGGATACCAAAGGCTTTGCTGGCTTCCAACCTAGTTAAGAAACAGGAGCCTGAAGTTCAGAGAGAGACTGGGCCTTAAAGGAATATGGAGACAGTGATAGAGGACATCCGGTAGCCTTTTCGGGCTTCCACACATGTACACGCACACACACGTGCTGGAGTTAAAGGAATGCACCGCCATGCCCAGTCACAAGTTAATTTTGTATGTATAGATGATTTGCTTGCATTTGTCTGTGTACCACATGCATACAATGTCCATGGAGACCAGAAGAGGATGTCAGGTCCCCAGATCCCCTTGGAACTGGCCTTAGAGATAGTTGTGAGCTGCCATGTAGGTGCTGAAAATTGATCCTGGGTCCTCTAGAAAAGCAGCCAGTGCTCTTAAGTACTGAATGTCTCCAGCCCCTAAATAAAATAAATTTTTCGTTTCTTTGTTTGTTTTTCGAGACAGAGTTTCTCTGTGTAACCACTCTAGCTGTCCTGAAACTAGCTCTGTGGACCAGACTGGCCTCAAACTCATAGAGATCCACCTGTCTCTGCCTCCCGAGTACTGGGATTAAAGGCATGTGTCACCATCACCCAGCTAAAATAATTTTTTGCAAAGAAAAATAAAACTTCATTGGAAAACTATACCACTCTGTAGCTAACCAGACTTCTATGCAACTCTTTTCAGTCTCTCTTGGTCCTTACTGCCCTATGAGAGGCAGTAGAAGTAGGGGGAAGATCAGAAGAAAATGAAGGCTGTTATGTCCTTCACGGAAGAGCTGTTGGGAGGGTGACTGAAGCTGCCTGGAGATGCCCTTGGCCTCACCTCTGGTGTAGCAGTCCCCAGAGCATCAGCTCCCAAATCGGAATGTGTATGTCACCTGGGGAACTCGTTATGCAGAAAGCTCCAGAACAGCAACCCTGAGAGTAAAAGTCAAAGGATCTGAGAATGTACTTAGTCTGCAGAACCCTATCAGATTCTGACAGAGGTACATTCTCTGGTGTAACTAGTTCTGTCATGTGGACCATATTTCAAGAAACACAGACAGAGAGCAGAGGCAACTGTGTTCTCCTGAGAAGCAGGAAAGGCTATTGCAGGGGTGATGGGAAAATTAATCATCTTCAGTCACCTCAGGAGACGAGGCTTTAGGCTGCACTCTGGGGTGGAAAACAAGAACAAAATGCACACAGAGGATCCTGGGGTTCTGAAGGATGCATGAAAAGACCTCCATGACTGGCCTTCCCTTCCCTCCCTTGGTGCTCAAAGTGTTCATTTAGAGCTACGGGGTATAGAAGAACACCTGGGCAGATTCACTGGGGCCTTTAAAAGGACTTGGCTCCGGCTGAGAAAGATGAGAGACAGCTTCCCTATGGGCACCAGCAGAGACATCCAAACCAGGAATGCTGATGGAAGTTGGGAGAGCCACTTCAGGAGTGTGTGCTGCGACAGGAACACTAGTGGGGGCATACATTGATCCACCAGTTCCGAAAAGTGACTGGACCCCATCGTGTTATTCCTGGGTATATATGCCAGAGAAACAATTCTTTTCCATGAATCCAAAAAACCTAAAGATCCAGGATGTTCTTAGCAATATTAATCAAACTAAAAATCTATAAAGTATACTAATACCCTTGGGCAGGTAGATAAATTGTGCTACAATACAAGAATTTATTCCATGCATGTTTCAAATGAATGGAACTACATACTACATGGGCAAAGAATAATAAATTATGCTTACAAACCTTATAAATTATAGAATAAATGCATTTGTGTTAAATTACAAAATGAGCAAAGTAGAAAATGTATTGTTTGGGAACTGTGAAAAATATAGAGAAAAAAATGTAAAGAAAAGCAAAAAATCATGGGACAAATTCAAAATAGTGGTTACCCTGCATAAGGCAGGAAACAAATGCTTTAGATCTCTTAAGTGTCAAACCATACGTGTCTGTTTTAGTCAGTATATGATCTATGTATACATACTGTGTAGCCTTTGGGCTATCTATTTCAATATTAAAAAAAAAAAAAACCTAGCCCGGTTGGTGGCGGTGCACACCTTTAGTTGTGAGCCACCTTTGTGTGTGATGGAAACCAAACCTGGGTCTCCAGGAAGAGCAGCCAGTGCTCTTACCCTCTGAGCTGTCTATCTAACCCAGCAGTTCTCAACCTGTGGGTTGCGACCCCGTTGAGGTTCAAAGGATACTTTCACAGGGATTACATATCAGATATGATTCATAACAGTAGCAAAACAACAGTTATGAAGTAGCAACAAAAATAACTTTATGCCCTGTCTCGAAAAACCAAAAAAAAAA